GGAAAGTAAAATATACCGGTGATTAAAGCAATTAGCTACTTGGCACTGCATATGAGGCCCATGCACTTACAAACTCAGAGGATCGTTGTACATGGTTCACATACTTCTCACTAACTTTAATGGTTCTTTAGATGAAAAATAATCAATAGTACAGCTTTGTGACACCATGGCACTGCTTATGTTCAAATGTCTATTATCTGGGCTCAAGATCCTATTAAGAAACATCACCCATACCAAGGATTTGTAGACACCCCCTTTTATTTTTTTGGCCTCAGGGAAAGAGGTAAATGGCTTGCACTATGTTGAAGAGAAGACTTCACTTCCTGTGTACTTTTAAAAGTCTGGTACTTTTAATCATTAAAATGAAATTATACTTTATGGGCAATGGATGATAACATATAGAATAGCAATGCAAGGAGGAGAACATAAAAGAAAAACAGTTAATAATATTTCTTAGAATTATTTTTCATGCTGACTGAGCAAAGGGAGGATAAACCCTTACTGATTCTATGTAATATTCTGCTGGTTCAGGTTAGAGCACATGAAAGAAAAGAATGCAATTCTTACTTTAGACATTGCTCGAGTTTTACTGTGACATTAAAGCAAGTAACTAATAGCTTGCACAGTTACCTTTTAAGAGTTCTAATGTTGTATTTCCAAGTAGCACAGTTAGTCCCATCCAGAATAAAAAGCCAAGTGGCTAAGAAATAGGCTTTTAATACCCAAATGAAGGGCACACTTTTATTTCTTTATGAGTTTGTTTGTTGCCCCTAACTACATGATGCATTCTTTGCACACTCAGCTTTTCTCTAAATGCATGCTCTAGATCCATTATTTCATATAAAATACTTTCTAATTTCAAATAATATAAGCAGAATGAATGTAATTTCTGGTAAAAAACCTAGATTCTAAAGTAGGCAAAGTGAATGGTAAAAGCTTACCTCTCCAATCAAATAAGGAAAACCACAACTGCTGTTGGTATCAGTATGTTCGGAACACTTCCATTTGTCTTTATTTTATTTCATGGACAGTTAATACCTAAGTGTATTAATTGAACACAGGAAGTTGCCTCTTCACCAAGCCAAATCACTGGCTTGTTAGTTCAGTATTGTCTACATCTGTTTTTCCAACCTGGTAACCTTCAGACGTACTAAATTATAGTTCCCATCAACATTGCCAACCACCAAAACCAACACAGCTGGAGGCCACCAGATTGGGCTTGGCTGACATTAACTGGCAGTGGTTTGCTGGAGTTTCACACTAGACTCTATTCTAGCTCTACCTGAAGTTGCCAAGAACTGAAGCAGGGACCTTTTGAATTCAAGCATATATAACATTCAGTTACAGTCCCTTCCTTATGCATTCTTCTTCAATAGATCTAAATCTATTATTCCAAATTTTACTTTTCCAATTAAACAACAATCAAAAAGCTTACATTTAAGTTTAAAGCATCTAAAATCCTACCCAACTTTTTAATACTATCCATTTTCAGATCTCATTTTTCACTTTATTGCAAAATCTCAACCTTCCTAAATGTTTCCCCTCTAGCACCCAAACTCAGCATAACAGTCCTGTGTCAAAACCCAAATGTGGGGATCAAGAACATGCCCACAAGGCTTGAGGGCTCCTTATACCTCTATAGTTACCTTAAAACCATAGTTTGAAGTAGATCTGCAAACCAGAATTTGTGGCAATTCCAGCTAGCTTTAACCATAGTTATTGCCTACATAGGTATCACACTAAGCTAGCATTAAAGGAAGAATTTCTCTTCAAGATGGTTAGTGAACATGTCCAAGGATGGGCAATTTGGAGCCCTCTAAAGATTTAAGCCTACAACATTGACAGTCCTAGTATGCATAGGTAATGGTATGGGAAAATGGGAGAGGGCATGCATTCATACATAGGATCACCGTAAATTGGATTTTATTTATTTACTTGTTACATTTATATATCTAGGAGTGAGGGAGAAGGCCCTTAATCTAGCCATTTCCCCCTCACTTCTTTAGGGGCCAGCTCCCAGAGAAGGGCCTCCATTGAAGATCTTAGTGGTCTGGGTAGGAATATATGGAGATAGCCATTCCTTCAGATATCCAATCCCCAACAGTTTGAATTGGCAGCAGGTGCAGCTGATAGAGCACTGGTGTGATGTGTTTTATAGGACTGGTCCTCATTAACAAACATGTGACTCTGTTCTGGATAAACTGAAGTGTCTGGACCATCTTCAAAGGTAGCCCCATGTAGAGCTCATTACAGTAATCCAGGAGAGAAGTTACTAGTGTGTGGATGAATACAGTAAGGCTCCACTTGTCCAAGTAGGAACATAGCTGAAAAATCAGCCTGAGATGATAGAAGGTGCTCCTGGCCACTGAGGCTACCTGTGAAACAAGGAACAGCTCAAGGTCCAAGAGCACCTCCAACCTTTTCCTTTAGAGAGAGCATGGCCTCATCCAGGACATGTTGAAAATTTCCCATTTGACAGACTGCTCAACAACAGCACTTCCTTCTTGTCTGTATTGAGTTTCAGCTTATTGGCCCTCATCCAGTACATTACCAAGCCCAGGCACCAGTTAAGAACAACTGACTCACTGACTGGCCTAGATTGGGTGAGAACAACAAACAGAGCGAAGTGTCATCTGCATATTGACGACACTTCAGCTTAAACCTCTGAATGGCCTCTCCCAGTGGTTTCATATAGATTTTGAAAAGCATGGGGGACAGAATGGAGTCCTGCAGGAAGCACAGAGCAACAGTGCCCCAGCTCCACCATCTATTATTATTATTATTATTATTATTATTATTATTATTATTTATAGCATTTTTATGCCGCCCCCATCGCAGAAAGCCTCGGGGTGGCTTACAAAGAGGAAGACAACATAAAATAACATTAAAAATACGGAGCATCGCGGCAATAGTTTAAAACCAATAAATAAAAACAACGATTAACAATTAAAATATAGTTTAAATAAAAAGGTCTTGGCCTGGCGCCGAAAAACAAACAGCAGCAGCGCCAGGCATCTAGAGACTGTCCACCACATAGGAGCAGAGCCATCACAAGGCAGTGCCACCGACTCCCAACATGGCGAACCTCTGCAGAAGGATACCATGGTCAATAGTATTGAAAGCTGCTGAGAGGTCCAGGGGAATCAACATAACATCACTTGGAGGGTCACAAGTTGTCATCCCTGATGTAAATCCATGGCATGCTCTGATCCCCAAATTCCATTTGGAAATTAGAAATTTACATCCGCCATAAAATTAGCAGCTAGAATGCAGAATGCCTCTTTCCCATTTTGGGTCCAAGCCTTAAATGCTAGTCATTTGCCAGCAACATCCCTATAGGAAAGAGAACTCCATCCCCTACTCAAGCTGCTTTCTGTCATGTAGGTATGAAAGAGAGAAGAATGTAGATAACACTACTTGCTGCGTACAAGTTTGCTTTATTAAGTAGAATGGACAAATTTTAAAAGATAAAGGAAGCTTTATTATTTAAAACATCTAAAAAGTAAAAACAAGTCATTTAGAAAACTTCTTTAGGTATATAAAGAATGCTGAATATTGTGGCAGCATTCAGAGCCATGGACAAAACACAGTAATATGAACCTGTTGAAGGGAGGTGGAGTTTGGCTTTTACTTTATTTTTCTCAAAATTTCTTATAGTTCTATAAATTCTCTACACAAACATTAAAATACTAAGTGTGTAAACTGATGTATACAAATACTGCTTTATAGTAATTAAAAGAAGCAAAGATGCAAAAAGTAACTCAAGCAATTTAAGTACTGACAGCCCCATCTATTTTTACTATCTGGCCTTGGTTAAGAGGTCCTAACACACCAAAAAGTTTTCATATGTGTACCCCTAAAAGCAGAACATTTGAAACAAGGAATATTTTAAGTGCAGTCTTAATAGATCCTTTTAGAACCAGTCATAGTTATGACATTAATGGCTATATTAATTACAAATGCAGTTTATGTAGTCCTGTACACTGTTAACTGCAGTTATTAACACAAGGTTCAGTTATGCATGGATGAATGGGTATAGATCTAACTAAAGTTTCCCAAAAGGCAACCAATCATTTATGGATAGCTAAATCACACACACTAGCCTAAATACTAAAACGGTATAATAAACTATTTGCCAGTTATTTTCTAATCAGTATTTTATGTAATTTAACACAGTACTCTTTTATGCTATTAACCCTGTCTTCATAAATACCCTTACACTGTACACTTCCAGGTCTGCTCTGTTATTATATTCAGTGATTTTGACTGAAATAAGAAGAGCTGTCATTCCATGAGACATTGCAATACTACATACAGAAATTCTAAGAAAACACAAGCCAACTAGAACATACTTTTGAGATTGTTTAGGAAAGTTGATAAAACAACAGTTTAATAGTTCAGCACTATTAACTCAACAATTTATTATCATAGACACCTTAGTAAGTAAATATGCCAGACTGATACAAGTTCAACTCATGTGATTCAATATTTTTATTTACAAGTCCAATTTCTCCACTTAATTACCTGCTACAAATAAACATCTTGCAACCCTGCCCACCCCCCAAAAGATCATTATATTATATTATAATTACAAAGGCAGCTAATCAGCTTTTGAGGTTAGGAAACTTTTCCTGAATAATATGAAGTTGAGAGAACTTGAATTTAAACTTGAACTTCCTTAAGGAAATAGTTCCTCACAATATTTAGAAGAATAAAATTTCTAACAATTATGTTCTCTTGCTATACAAATTTAAATACAGAAACTCTTCCCACTCCCTATATTTAACATAGCCATAAGCCCACAAACTAATTATAGAGTTCAAAGTGTTAAAAGTAGCATGAAACCTCAAACAAAGAAGCAGGAAGTACTGAAGTAATATTGACCCGCATTACCTGCCATTTGGCACTGTATTTTGCCATGAATTGTTTATATTTATACTTTAAAATGTTATAAAGTTTTGAAACAATACCAATAAAAACTTCCCAAATTAAATTTTTACCTTTGTGTTCGACGGAGCCTGTTTCCATTTCTCAAATGTGGCAATGTAAAGTTTGAGAGGACAGTCCAAAAATTTTGATCAGACATATCCATATTCTTTCTTGAAAAGTAAGAATGGCTCAAAATAGGGTAGAGGAGAACACAAAACAAAGAAAAACAATCCTGGCTTGATTAGTCTTCTCTCCACTCAAAGTGTAAACATTAACTCCACTCAATGTAGTTTCAAAAAATTAAAAGAAAGATGAGTATTCTAGGCTTCCTTAGTAGTAAACAACTCTAACTCAATAACTGAAAAGAAAGCCCCACTTATTTCCTTCTCCCGCTAAACTCTTAGATGTGTATGTTTCCAGGGCTTAAATAAAAACTGCACTAGTTTCTAACCTCCTGTTCTGCTGAAAACCCTGTTCCTATACGTGATTCATCCCAAGGTACTTTGTCATCTGTTTGGAAGATACCATTTAGAGCTAGCAGAAGGGGGGAGCTCTTGTTTCTTTTAAAGGTTTTCTTGATTATAATGTTAACACGTAATTCTATTTGAGAACTCTCAGCAAATAAACCACATATTCAGTTCCCATCTTTGTGTTCTAATAAAGAATAAAACTAAAGGACTACACAATTGTATCCCTGAGAAACTTTAGAAATGAGCTCATCTTTCAGAGACTTTTTCCAGGACTTAAACCTATCCCTGTTGATCTCATCTTACTGAATGAGGGACAGAGAAAGAAACTGGGTTCTTACTTGCCACAAAAGAACAAAGTACTTTCACTTTTTATTTTCTATAAGAAATTAGTATCTGCCATGGGAAGTTTAGATTTCACCTCACCCAATTCAGAGGTTGTGGCAGGAACTTACAAATCTATTTTTCCCTGAAGTCAGAAACATTTCACTGATGCCTACCATCTGTGATCAACAGCCATCATCAAAGCAGAAATATGTTATCTTCCCACACATACCACCCAAACACCCTGTTGTTTGTATGACTCTACCCATGCTATAAGCAATTCAGGGAGGGAACATGCTACTGAATTCTGTACATGCCTAAAGTCAGTGATCGTTTTTATCTCAAAGGAAGCTGACATCAAGGAAAGCTATAGTCAAATATCTTAAAATTTATCTTTCTACGTACAGAGCTGACCTAATCACATTGTCAAGGGTACTATTGCAACAGGGAAAGCAAAGTTCCCTATCTATGGGTGGGAGAAACAAACCAGCAGTGGGAAAGACTACTTGTAGTTGGCCACTCCTTTCACAGCTCAATATCCTTATTACACTAAAAAAAAAAAAAAAAAAAAAAGCCCCAAAGCCAGTATTCAGGGTGGAGCAGGAGAAACTAATCACCCACACACCCCATACTTTTTTCCGTTTTGAAGCACCTTGATACTTCTCTACTTAGTCCCAATACAAATGCTGCTGTATCTTCAGCCTTTCCAACTTGATACTTATTGCCACAACATTTTTGGACTCAGCATGCTCGATTCTACATATTGTCAGTTTAATTTTTATTCATGCTCTATCACTTTTTTCCAGGTTTCTACTCTTGCATCACCACTTACTTATATTTCTACTGACTGACATTAACCATAATAACAATGCAAATGACATCAGATCACAAGCCATTAAGTTTTCCCCTTCGGCCCACTCAACAGATCAGATTTTTATACATAACAGACTGTTTAGATCTCATTCTAGTTCAAAAGTTAGATATTACATTATATATTCATTTTGTATGCACAATTCTTCCCCACCTTCACTCAAGAATGGAAGATAAATGGCTTCTCTTCCAAACTTGTCCATGAAGCACAAATGACTATTCTTCTACTTTTAATGCACTGTCAATTGTAAAGGTTTCCCCATGACATTAAAGTCCAGTCATGCCTGACTCTTGGGGGCGGTGCACATCTCAGTTTCCTAACCAAGGGAGCCAGCATTTGTCCACAGACAGTTTCCGTGGTCATGCGGCCAGCATTACTAAACACAGAGGTGCACGAAACGCTGTTACCTTCCCACCGAAGTGGTCCCAATTTATCTACTTGCATGTGTATGCTTTTGAACTACAAGGTTGGCACTGTAGAGATACGTAATACAACTTTGTTGCAACAACAGAAGCAGTTCTTTTGCTGCCCAACTCCCCCCAGTCAGGCAAGTGTATTCTTCATTATTTTAAAAATAAACTATTAAAATCAATATCCATGGTTGGCTCTGCTATCCATGTCCTGTACTGCTTTTCTAAAAGATTTTAGACCTAACTCTACAAGCAGCATTCAAACTAAAATAAATGTCTGGACTGCAAACATTTGGCAGAAATGTTTATTCTTATAATTCTTATTATTGACTTCTCACCCCGCAACCCCACATGCACGTACATACCTTCATATAGAAACAATGGTATTACTGACAACAGTAATATAAACAACATATATAAACAATGGTATTACTGACAACTAGTTTTCTTTGTGTAGAAACTATTTCATGGAGGAACATTGCACAGTGTGATCCTCCATCAGTAGTTTGAAGCAATAAAATTCGGGTACAGATGTAATTATAGAAAGATAGCATAGATGTTCTGTGGGAAGCAGAAAATAAAACATAGCCTTAACTGCATTGCTATTTGTAAGCTAAAGGCATTTTCCCATTTCATACATTACACAGTGTTAGATGCTGAGTTATTCCTACCTTCCTTTAATGTGCCAGTTAAAGTAAGAAATATCCCTTATCTGCTCTATAATTACTATATCCCTAGCAATCAGGTGACTATTAGGGCCAGTATTTCTTCCCATTCCAATCAGATCAGAACAAAGGCTCTCTAACTCAAAATCTTTACTATGTGAAAGCTGACCAGTAAGGATATCTTTATAACACAAAAGCAAAGTATTGCAGAAACTGATAACAAAAGAAATAAGCAAAGTTAGAATACTGGACATTTGGGAAATATGGCTTAATGATATAAATTCTGTTTCAAACTGAATGCCTCTTTTCCTTTCCAAACAGCAAAGAGTTGACACTACCCTTCAAGGCAGCTCATACTACTTATGCACCAGTCACTAGGGGCATCCAACATTAATCAGTTGGTTGAACTGCTTAACCTGATGAGATACGACAGGTGTAAGGATGTTAGGTCCACCTCTTCCCATATTGGCTTGCTCACTAAAAGGGCAAGAGAATGCATAAAAGCTAGAAAAGCTGTCAAATAAAAGGTGGTTGGGTAGGAACCTTTTGGAGAACTGATCAAGGCTATACTGGGGCCCCTGGAGAGTCAGTGTTGGCCCTTGGACCTGAGGTTATGCACCTCCACTTTAAATAGTACCAAGAAGGATGCTGATGCAAGGTACTCTGACTTGCTTGCTTGGTATAGCTCTATGTAGACCAGGATGTTTTCTTGTACATTCTCACCACTTTATTCTTTCCTTTTACTTAATAAACTTCTTTAGTTGGATTGCTGTTGCTACCCGCAAGTAATTCTCCTCCCCAAGACTATTTGGGTTGCATGTAACAAAGGTTAAGGTAGGTGCTACTGAAGTGGCAAGAAATAAGAGCTACGTTCCGACTAGCAGAGAATGGGGTTCTATATGGCCACATTCCCTCTTAGTAATTGCTAAAAATAGAAAGTCTCTATGCTTCTCTGTGTGATTTAGCTGACTGATGGTATCAGGATTGCAAGTAAAAGGAGTGTAAGCTCAGTATCCTGGCCTGAAAGGCTGGCATTACCACCACTGCATAGATTCTTAACAGCATGTACTGAAAAGGGGAAGGGAAGATTCTTCTACTAATATACTCCAGTGATAAGGGTTATGATTCATCCCTTGGCTGAAGGAGAAAAGGGTTGATTGAATCAACCTTAGCAGGGGCTGAAAATATAAAGCATAACTCTTTTTCCCCTCTCACCTTTCTCTTGAATACCACACAATATGCATTCTTTCTTCCATACCAAGCTTACTTTTTGTTACATTTTCTACAAACTGAACTCAATAATACTCCTCAGTTGGACTGTGCTAAACTGGAAAATTAATTCACTCAACAACTCCATGGAATTAGTAAGATGTAAACATTTCCACAAAATGGTATGGAAAAGCTAGAGAAGTACGGTTCCTTTGACCTAGAAGGTGCCAATGTTGGGAATGAAAGAAGCAGAGAGTGGGAGCTAGGGGTACTCATAAGGAGGGTTCCTGGAGGTAGTTTTTAGTGTGGGTTCAACAAACAGCTCGGTGCATGCCCAGAGACTTTTTCTTTGCTGATAATGCTTTGCTGAATGTACACTGGAGAATAAAGAGCTTTTGCCAAAGCATGGTCTGTTGTTTTGAAAGGGTGAAAAGGGAAACCCTGCTCCCAACAGCCAAAGTGAGTATAAAATTAACTCTAGTGTGTTAATTTTAGGGAATAGCAAGGCAGTGTGAAGTCCTAAAGGCTTGATAAAATATTTCAATGACAATCTTGGACAATCCACAATTTGATTCCAATAAAATTTGCACTTACTCAGAACAATGAATTAGTCTGTTAAAACTGGGTTCAAATACCATCTCATCCATATAAGACAATCACACACTCTCAGTCTAACCTACTCCAGAGGAGTGTTCCGAAAGGTAACATGAGTGTGAGGACACCAAATGATCCCAACATCTGAATTGTACTTACCATCTTAATAGTATTTAAACATGTTTTACACTAAATCCTGTTTCTAATTATTGCTAATAATAACTACTAAATTTTATCATCTATTACAGCTCAAAGGTAAATGCTTTATTCTCACCAAATTCATGAGAGCAGCTATCCTATTTTGCCCTCATAACAGTTGACCTCTTTCACCCTCTAGTGGTTGGCGTTCACTAGTGCCTATTTTAAGATTAGTATGTATTTGAAGCCAATACGGTACTTAACAATCACTATTATCTGGAGGTAAGAGCAACATAAGAAGGATAACATATCTTTGAAGCAATACAACATGAGAGCCCAGGTATTTTGGGATAAACAACATTATTTATAAACCCATGCAGCCCTAGGTACCCTATCCATTTAGAATTTTAAACACTCAGTTTTCTACTTGCTTAATTTTTCACACAAGGGCTCTGTGCCTGTGTGGGGCCTGTTATCAGAAAGATTTTCCAAGCTGGACTCATTCTGGTGGGACCTCCTCTCCATCTACCCCCGGTATATATAGAAGGAGCTCCCACCATTTTCACCAGTTCTTGTGAGACCAGTGTTGTGGGTTCAGAACCAGGGGAAAGGCCAGTGAATGGCTGATCCATACCACCCAAATATAGATCTAAAGTAAAACTATGGTACCAAAGCTGTTGACACTAACATGGGGAAAGTGGGCAGGTTATGTGAATGCACAGATGACCACTTGAAGAATGTCAGTTACAGGCAAGCAACCTTACTTTCTTCTTCATGGTCTCTGTGCATCACACATAGGGGCAACCACCAAGCTTACCTCGAGAGGGAGGTCATCAAACGTCATCAGTGGAAGACCACCGAGTCTGTTTGGTTTTTCCAGGTGGGCTACATGAATGCCTGGCAACGTGCACAGGTGTTCACACAGTGCTTCTCTCCCAAACACAAAATACACAATGAGTGCCCATCTGTGGGAGGCAAATGACTCCCACAGCGCATACACTTCCAAAAAGACACTTTGATGCAAGAGTAGAAACCTGGAAAAAAGTGATAGAGCATGAATAAAAATTAAATTACTCCAAGCACTCTTGGAGGAAACTGATTATCTGGATCCTTTTCAGTCCGGCTTCAGACCCGGGTACAGTACTGAATCTGCCTTGGTCGCCCTGTACGACGACCTGTGCGGGGAGAAGGACAGGGGGAGTACATCCCTGTTGGTTCTTCTGGACCTCTCGGCGGCTTTCGATACCATCGACCATGGTATCCTTCTGGATAGACTTGCGGGATTGGGGGTTGGAGGCACTGCTTTGCAGTGGTTCCGCTCCTATCTCGACGGTCGATTCCAGAAGGTAGTGCTGGGGGACCATGTCTCTACGTCATGGCAGCTATGCCATGGGGTACCACAGGGCTCCATTCTATCCCCTCTGCTATTTAACATCTATATGAAACCGCTGGGAGAGGTCATCAGGAGGTGTGGGCTGCGGAATCA